CCCCACACCCCACATATGTACATCACGTTCACACACACACACCCTAAAACAAAAAACCCTAAACCACGTCAGAAAGTAACACACACCCCAAAAAAAATTCAAAACCCCGCACATCCCAGCCCCACCACACACCATTTTCTTCCACTTGTGTGGTCCCAACGAAGTTTTACTTCCCCACATGCCAACTACTTGTCAGCACTTACACCGACACAGGCCACACACAAGAACCCCACACAAACCCTACACCCACAACCAAGTACAACCTTCCCCACATCATCACCAACACCAACCCACCCCAACACACACAAAAAAAGCATCACAACACACATAACAAATCAACGACACAGACAACCCCAAAATAAAGATCGCAAACAAAAAAAAAAAAAATGCAATCGGGTAATCAAACCAAATAATCAAACACTCACAATCCACATTGTCACACAAAAATTACAGCAAAAAGATATGGCACATACCATTTTCGGCCATAACTATACGGCCACAACCAAGGACTGCGAAATATGAACACTAGGGTTTCGTCGTCGTCCACGATCTGCCCTGTCACAAATACAGTGGCCCAACTAATCACAGCAACAAACGGAAATTGCACACTCAATCTTTATAATTTCCCCCCAAATCACGCGAACGGTATATATGGTCAATCCCAATTTCGAAATCCAAGCAAATCGCAAAAACGAGGGTTTCCTATGTTACGTTTCCACTTCACTGTGTGTGGGGATGTGGATGCTTAAATCGGGTTGAGTTTTTAATGGGTATGGGTTTTCAATATGTGGAATACATGGCAACCAAAAACCACAACAGTCTTCTACAAAAACCCTTAGTAAACTTTTTGGGTGTAAACTTTTCGCGTGCGTAACAGCCAAATGTGTGACACGTGACAAATCTCACGCCATTTTACCTGATCTGTGACACACGCGCAAGCCATGTATCACATGAAAAATCCACACATACTAAGGGCAATTGGGTCCTTTCACAACAAACAGACAACAAACAGGACTAAATGGAGCATGAAAAAACATTTGAGACTAATTGGATTATAATATCAACATGTAGGATTTATTGGTAAATCTCCCTTAAAACAAAATATATATTTTAAGGTAAATGAGATGACAAAATTAATTTTTTTATTCATAGAACTAATAAATTATTGATAAAAAATAGATCAAGTGTTATGTGTATTATAATATTAAAAAAAAAATCTAATAAAATTATGTAAAAATTATAAAATTTATTATATTTTTTCATACCTCAAGGAAGTTCGGTGTAAATTACCATTATAATTTAGGACAAATTACAAGCACCCCCTCGAGGTTTGGTGAAAATACAGATTCCTTCCTGAGGTTTGAGAAATTACATCCCGCCTCCTGAGGTTTATATTTCCATAACAAATAGCCCCTTGAAGTTTATATTTTCATACAGATTTCCCCCTAATTTATTATGCAAATTTAACTCTCAAGGAGTAATTTATAATTTTTCAAACCTCAAAAAAAAATCTATATTTTCACCAAATCTCGAGAAGGTATTTATAATTTGCCCTAAAATTTTAAACTCACAAATGCAAGGCGAATAAAAACTTGAGATAAATGAGCTGTTTTGATTTTTTTTTCTTTATAATACAACAAAGCAACCCACGACTGCTTGACAGCTAAATTGCAACAGAGAATTAAATATACATCCCCTTCGAACCACATTTCAAGAAAAATAATAAATTAAAATAGCATACATATCTTTCTGCATCAATTATTTGTTCTCACCTACTTTTTTGCAAAGATTCCATTATTAGACAAGACAACTAATAATTCTGTTCTCTATTTATCTTCCTCTTGGTTTTTTTTCTTCTTTGCTGCAATTGATGCAATTGAAGATTCTAATTGTATAGGACTTGAGAAGCAGAACAGCCAAACATATCCTTGATATATAAAAATCAATATGTCCATTCTTTAGGGAGAACCGTCTCGTGATGGTTCACTGCTGGACCACCGGTTCGGGGCTGCGACTGCTGCTTCGGTTGCAAATGAACGTCACTGTTACTTGGTGCCATTACAATGTCTGCAATCACTTATAAATTAATTTTTATGATTTTAATTATTAATTTGTTTTTAACGATAAATGTTTCCGAAAATGAAAATGAAAATGAAAATGAAAACTTTGAAAAGGATGCCATACAACGATACAATACAGCCTAACCCATGAAATGAAATAAACAAATTTAATTTGAATTTTTTGGGTCACAAATTAAAAAAAAAAATAAAAAATTGAGTGTGATGAGGTCATCCAAATATGAATATATTAAGAATATTACGAATTTATTGTACTTGTTAAGATAGATTAAGAGAGTAAGTGGGAGCAAAATATACCGTGTTGAAGAGGGTAACTTGTGAAACCACCACAACCGTTGGATTTTGATCGAGCATTCATATCTTCAAAGTGGAGTTGTAGGGCCTGCATTACCCTTGCAGGAATAAGAACTGTCGAACATCCTGATCAAAATACAATCATAGTTGAGAACTTGAGAAAAAATAAATATATAAATATAAATACAAAAATTGATCAAGAAATCAACATAAAATATATATAAATAAATAATAAATAAATGCGCATCACCAACAATTATGTAAATTTTATTTTTATGTGTTTGTTTGTATTCACATATTAATAAATAATCTTTATGCATGTATATGTACATAAACAGTGCAAAACATCCTCCTTTTAGTTATGGTATCGTTTGACATATGGTTTATAATTATTAAAATAAGTAAAACTGTCATTTGACTTATCATTTTCCTGTCAAAAAATAAATTCAAATCACTTGAATAAGTGTTACTCAGACGAACTAATAACTTATTTGTGGATTTATTTTAAACTAATATGTTACCTTATAAATTGAGATCTAGTCGATCGAAATTTCTCTGTCTTTCTATATCAATACACTATTAACTGGCCGACAATGTCATAAAATTTCCAATAATTTGTGCTAATAAGAATTGCATTGAGATAAATAGACCCCAAAAAAGAAAAAATTTAAATCTTTTATCAGATTTTTTTTATTATTTGTATTACCATTTTATTTATGTCAAAATACTACTACACTTTATTTTTTAATACAATTTATTCTAAACACGAAACTAGCCACACTTCTCCAACTAAGCATAATCATAAAGGTAACCACGACATATTTTTAATATTAAATTAAACCAAAGACAGCAAATCTAAACAATAAAGATTCTTGTTTAGTTTTTTTTTATAGACAGAAGATTCTCGACTAAGGATGTCTCATTATTGGCCAGTATATACCAAACATATATTTAAATAAATAAAAGAAACAGCTGATGATTAAAAAACTCATAAAAATAGATGGAAACCAAACTTAGACGTTGTTTGACATATATTAAAAAAAGTTAAAAAATTAAAAAGTTACTATTTTATTTAAGTTTTATCATCTTATTTAAGTCACATCACCTTTCTATCACATTACTTTAAACCCAATCCATACTCAATTCATATTTAATAAAAAATCAAAAAGTATACTATTTATTTTGAACATCTCAAACTACCACTCAAATAATTTTGGTGGTACTATGCCTCCGTTTGGAAAGGAAAGTTTGGACTTAAATAGCCATATAAAACAAAATAGGCTATTTTAGCCTAATAAGACAAAATATCACATCCAACTCATAATAATTATATTTTTTCTCTCACAAAAAATTAAAAAAACCAAAAAATCCTTCCAAACAAGACTTTTTAGTCTCAAATTAAAATAATCAAAAAGTCAACCCACTTCCCAGACAAACTCTATATGTAATCACTATTATAACAGTTGTGCAAATCAAAGAACTTGTACTCCTCTTCTTTTTCTTTTTCTTTTTTTTTTTCATCTTGTTTTTTCTTCCTTCTCTCTTCCTTTCCATTGAAAAATAAATAAATAAATTGAACTGCAATATTAAAATTGAGAAAGGTGGTGCCTTAAACTTTGAGTCTATATGCGGCTGGTTTTGTTATTATTTTCATTTCATTTTATAAAATTGTAATACACTATTACAATTAAAATCAATAGTTTATAACTGTCACGTCATTATAAAATTTTAAAATTTTAAAATTTTTTTTTTCTTAAATAATGATTTGTTGATGTAAACTTTTTAGAGATATTGATCAAGAAATATTTCATCTCTAAAATGGAGAATCTAGAGTGCCATGTAGCATAAGTATACGAGAAGAAATAAAAAAAGTCAAAGTATATGCAAAACTAATTTTACATTAGGAAAATGATTGGTGGCCCTAAAAAAGTTGCCCCTAATACCCCTAATTTCCATTTTTGGAAACTGTTTTTTTTTTTACTTTCTTTTTCCTTTTTTTTTTTTTTTTTTTTTTACCTTAAATGGAAATACGGGGCATTCGAGCCCCCTGTTTTCGGGCCCTGAATCACGGCTGTTTTACATTATTTGTTAGAGTGACCCACTTTTAAAAAAATTAATATATTCACATATATCATATATGTATAATTTTGCAACTGATTTATATGTTCTTAGAATTTTTAATTTATCATTTTTTTTAAAAATGTACTTAAAAAGAAATTTTTTGTGAATAAAACTTTAAAAAATTCACTAATGGAAAGAAAATAAAATTAAAAGACCTGCATATTTTTATATTTTGTTTGTTTTTAATAATTTTTTTAGATTTCTTCATAATTTTTTTACCTTTTAAATATATTAAATTAAAAAGTATTAAAAATATAAAATATAAAAAACAAAAAATCATAAAATAAAATTTAAAAACTAAATGAAATAGATTTTGTGTAAGTAAAGAAGATGGACCTGATTTTTTGCGGGACTCAGGTGGGTCGCTGGTTCCACGTGGCAAGAAAACACCGGTCCCGGAAGACCCGTTTTGCAAACGGGGCCCACCAAGGAAAACGGCTCTCATACCCGAACCCGAGTCGGAACCAATCGGCTGCTGCCGACTTGGCCGCCACGTGGTGGCTGATGATGGCCCAATTCTGCCGGCACTTACGTCATCAGCTCTTGCTACGCTCTTTTGCATGATGGGGATGTGGTGCCGCTTTTTGTCGTGAAGTTGCTGAGTTAACTCGTTCCTCTTCACTCGGCTTCCCCCACATTCATACCCTTTGTCATTAATGGACGGTTGCTTCTCAAACTTATACAACTACATAAATTAAACATACCCAAAACATTAAAAGTGGGTCATTTATATTATAAAAAAAAAAATTCAAAAATAATTGATGGAATAAATCTTGAGTTATCCCCTACAAAAAAGAAAAAATAAAAGCAAATAAGTCTCAATTTTTTTTAATCAGCAAATAAAACCCAATTACTCATCTAAACATTAAAAAGTATGATAAACAACAACAACAACAAAAGCCATATGTTTTTCTATCCTAAATTAGGTATCATTTTGTTTCATTTATCATAATTACATTTATTTAGTAAATTTTACTACTTATATGTACTTCTAGTATGATTGTGACACAATAAGGTGATAAATAAAGAAAAATATTCTAAAAATTAACAACTTTTATAAATTATATTTTACAAATAGATGTGTATAATAAAATTTTAAAAATTTAAACGAGATAAATGTCACAACAATAAATAAAAATTTACTCATAGTATTACTAAATATAAAAAATAAAAGCTTCTTGTATTCTTACATGAATAGCTGGTGTTTGGTCATAAGAAGAAGCTTGATTAGCTTCAAACCCAACATTAGGGTTCTTAGTAGTCTTAGGCAAGGAACTGGGTGCCACTTCATCATCATCATCATCATCATCAAGCATGTAATCGGCCATCTGCCGAGTCAACTCAGCGATAAAACCGTCCTCCTCCTCACTCTCTGTCTCCGTCTCGGTCGAGCCGAGCTCAGACTCAATCGGCGAGCTCCAACCAGACCAAGAAGAAGAACCAAACTCGTTTGAAATGGACTCGTTATTTCTCGATCCCTTATTTGAGAGAATATCATCCTCTATATAGTCAACAAAAGCCATTACCAACTCTCCAAGTAATTATACAGAGAAAAACCCAGATGGGTATTGGTTTGGTGACCTAATCTAAATAATGGGTTTTGAAGAAGACACAATAATTACCAAGCTTTTAGAGAGATAGAGATAGGGAGAGAGATGGAGCCCAGAGGGAATGTAGAGAGAGGACAGAGTACAGTGGTGCCTCTTATTAAAGGCAAGGGGGTCTTTAAAAAGAATGAGTGGTTTGAGATGGAAATGCACTGGGTAGAGATAGAAATAGAGAGAGAGAGAGAGAGAGAGAGAGAGAGTAGTGAGAGATAGATAGATAGATAGAGACTAGATGTGAGACAAAGTGGTTGGGTTGAGGAACGTTGTGGTTTAGTAGTTGGCCAGAACGTTTCTCTCAGCCACGCAACTCACCTGCCAATGCCATTTAGGAATTTCTTGATTTAAAATTTTAATTGTATGGTTTTCATGATATTATGAAAAAAAATTATAAAAATTCTCCATACTTAAAATATTTAATTCGTAATGTTTTATTATATGTGATGTAATCATCTTTTAATTAATTTTAAGAAATTTTTTATAATATCTTTTTACGGTTCATAATATTACTTTTAGAATTTAATAAAACGAAAGTGAAAGCACCAATTGGCTTATTTAGCACCGTTTGAGAAGAGCTAAATCAGGTTTTTTTGGTTATTTTAGTTACAAAAGATAAAATAAGTTATTTTAGTTATAAAAAACAAAACATCACATCCAATCCATAATCATTACACTTTTCTCTCACAAAAAAAATTAAAAAAGTCAAAAAGTTAAAAAGTCTTTCCCAAACCAAACTTTTTAGTCCAGACTAAAATAGCTAAAAAAATTAAAAATTCAAAAAATCAACTCACTTCCTAAACGACACTTTTGTTTCATCAATATTATATATCTAAAAAAATATTTTAAAAAAAACATTTATATGGTTACGATTTATTTAATGTGTAGGCGGGTTGACCGCATATGATGACATGTCCCCGTCAAGCAAACAAAAACTTTTCAAAAAAAAATTTATTTGTATTAATAATATTTTATTTAATATAATCTGGTTCTTTTAAAAAATTAAAAGATCCCAATAAATAGAAATGTACACTCATTAGAGATTTATTGTTTGAGAAATGTAAAGGGCAAATTACATAGGTAATTCTTATATTTTATTATTTGTGTTATTTTAATCTTTATATTTTTAATTGATTTAATTTTGACAATTAATTTTGATTTTTATTAATTTGATCTAATTGATAACATTATTAGCATTTTTGATGAAAAATGATTATTGAGTTAGTTGAGGTTAAGTCACTTAATTGATCAGGTTTACAATTTTATTCCTAAAAGTATAACACATGTTTATGTACACATTTTCATAAAAATACTAAAAAATAGAATCAATTAGACTAATTTGAAACAAAATAAAAAATTTAGGGTCAAAATTAAGTGTCAAAGAACCGCAACCGTCCAAGTTTAAGGCTAGGTTTGGCATTCCCTAAAAAAGTCAAAAAGTCATTATCCTATTTAAGTCGCATCATCATATTTAAGTCACACACTGCTGGAAATTAGAGTTTTAGAGACGTTTAAAAAACGCCGCTATAGCTCTTAAAAACGCCGTTAAATCCTTGTGCGGCGTTTTTCACCAAACGTCGAAGATGCGGCCGTCGCTATAACTCTATGGCGCTTTAAAACGTGGCTATATTGCTATAGGCGGCGTTTTAGAAAAACGCCGCGAAAAGTTCTTCTAACGGTTACATGACGTCACCATTCTATTTAGCGACGTTTTTAAAACGCCGCCTTATCTGTTTTTCAAAACTCCAACTGTGGGTAATTTATGTAAATCTTGTATTTTTGTATATGCATGTGATTTATAATTCTTATGCATTTATTCTTTTCTGTTTTTCTGTGAGCCAATCCTGGTTAGGTGTGACTAATTCCTAACAGGATAATGAGTGATGTAGGAAGAAAGGTATGCATTTTGTATAATAAAATAAAAAGATAGACAGATGCAATAACAAAGAACATCTAGCATATTACAGAAAAGAGATGGAAGGAGATTAAAGAACTAACCTTGTGACACCTCTATACTGTGAAGTCCTCTGTCCAAATGTATCAATGGACTTCCTATGGACAACCTGCTTCTGATCAAGCTTCTCAGACCCTCTTTTCTTTCCCTCCATGGCTACACACTCAGTAACAGTGGGTGAGATCTGCTGTGAACCAGTAACACAGCTTGATTGGGAGCCAGGGCAAGCTCAGTGACTGCAAATCCCTATACCCCAATGCACTCACAGACCCAGATTCAACCCCATTGTCCAATGCATGACTTGCAGGGTAATAATTCCTTGAAACCCAGTTCTTCATCACAGAGAAATCATCTTCTGCCATGTTTGGGAGCTGGAGATTGCAATCTGAAACCTGGGCCTCCTTAGTCCCCTCCTTGAACGGTGTTTGGTACACCTCAGGGTAATAATTTCATTGTTTTCCTCAAAAAACTTTAACTGTCATTATTTCAATAACAATATATTCTATCATTTTCCATAGAACTCAGAGATTCCCTCTAAAACAATTAAAAACAGAGTCATTAACAAAACTAGACAGTTAATTTGAATGTTATTTTGGGGTGTGGTTTTCATTTGCAACCACCATACCTATACCTTCACCATGTGCCAAATTTTGTGGGTTTGTTGTGAATATTGTTTTGCTGTTCTGGTGACTGCATCTCCTAACTGGTCTTCTGGTTTTTGATGATACAAAAAATGCACAAATATGATAATGGCATCCAAAAACTTATTTCACATTTTTTATTCTCCTTTTACAAGTCCACAAAAATTGTTACACGAAGTTCTTGGTAATTCCTAGTTTCCTGTCCTCTACACTACATGATTACAGTAAAACATACAGACAGACCCAAACTTTCAGACTAACATTTTTCAACATACAAAACCCAAAATTCATGAGAAAAGAGGCTTTAAACGTGCAGAGACAATGAAAACATACCAATTGTGAGCACAACACTTATACATACAACACAAATCTGACTAATTGTAAGTTATATAGAGTTGACCAATTCAGATGAATTGAGACTAGCATTTAAAAAGTTTAGGCGAGCCTGGCCCAATAAGCCTAATTATCAATTCAAAGCCCTTAAAAATGTGGGCTAGATTAGGCAGGCCACCAAAACAGTGCCACCCCTATGCAGGATGTGTATTTCTCTAGTAAATGCTGGAAAAGTTCCTATAGAGAGGAGTACATAGTTAATTACCAGCTAGTTGTCACAGTAGTAATGAAGAATTGTGATCCGTTGGTGTCTGCTCCTCCATTTGCCATGGATATTACTCCTGTAATAAGAAAGGGAAAAAAAAATTAAATCAAAATTCTTGTGGCAAACTTGAAAGCCTAGAGTTTAGATAAGGTACTTGCGAGGGGTTTTGTGCTTACCAGGGCCGGTGTGCTTCAGTTCAAAATTCTCATCGGCAAAGTTGTCACCGAATTTTTTTAAAGTCTTAACATTTTTTTTAATTTATTAGATTTATTAATTTATATATACTTAAAAATCAAGGTATTTGTGAATTTTTTTATTAAAAAAAATCACTAAATATAAAATTTTAATATATTTTTTACAAATATTTTATTTTTAGGTATATTTAAAATAATTATTAAAATATATATAAAAAAAATCACTAAAGACAACAAAATAAAACAAAACATCAAAAAATTGTTTCTAAAAATTCAAAATCAAACAAAGTGAATGTTATTTAGTTAATTTTTTTATTATAAAATTTGTAGAATTTATGCTTGAAAGGTGACCCATCTACACAAATTTTTAGAGTCGCCACTAAATATGGGTCTCATATTACAATAGAGAAATCTATGCTGCACTCACATCACTTTTATTTTTTATATTTTTCATTGAGGATATACTTTCGAGTGATTTTTTTAAAAGTGATTTTGGAGTTATTTTTTAGATGGGTGAGATTTAGTTCTATTAAAGTTGAGGCTACAATAATCATTTCACCTTTTAACTCTTAAAATTTAACATTATCATTCTACAATTACTTTAAGAAAAAGCACTCTAATGATGTGTTTAGTTGGGGGATTTGAGGAAGGATTTGGAAAGAAAAAGAGAAAATGTGTGTGAAACTATGTGAAATATAGGTATGATTTATTCACATTTCACCTACCTTTTTTATTTTTCTTTCCAAATCTCTCTCCAAATTCCCCAACCAAACACAGTATAAAAAAGATCCCAACTCCATAATTTTATCAAGAAAAGTGATGTGCAGCGTAAATCCAACTATTATAACGTGAGATTTATACTTCCAATAAATTTAGATCACACAAATATTTTTTTTGAGGTATTTTTATGAGAAAATTAGTCTTGTTGCCATTTGTATTTGTATGTTTCACTCCTAACTGACATAGCTACAAATGGTTCTGGTCAGCGTTTCTTTCTGAAATTCTAGCACCAATCACCAATATGGTTGACCATTTGCCGTATATTAATATATATAGTTGACAATTTGTTTTTTTTTTTCCAATATTAAACTCATATTTTAGCATGTAACATTACCTAAAATGTTATAATTTGATAAATTTATCACATTAGTGCAAAGGTCATATTTTAATGAGAAATTATTGGGTGGTAATGCCTTTCCTTTTTCTTTTTTTTCATTGGTTTAGATAAGACTCATTATATTTATGTTAGTATTGAAAGCACAGCAGGACCAAAATCATTTGTGATTAGTTTACAGATACCATATGATATTATCACGTAGTACTTTTATATGTACAATGAATTTCATTTTATCCTTGCAACAACAACTTATGTTATGATCCATGTCCCAATTTTTTTTAAAAAAAGTGGCCTTATGAATGAAGTCTCTTAAGCATCATCCCCCTGCAAGTCAATTTTCAAAGGGATTCTACCGAAGGAGCTTGTAAAATATACACTACAAGAAATTACATTTTTAGCGATCAAATTTTTAGTCGCCAAAGGTTGTTTTTTAGTCGGCAAAAGTCAATGTCGACTAAATTTATTCGTCGCCCCGTTGGTCGCCAAAGCGTAGTCGGCAATAGTCAACGGCGACTAATATAACATTGGTCACTAATTATCTTATATTTGGCTACTAAAACAGACTAGTCGCCAAACATAACGTTTTGGCGACCAAATATTTAGTCGCCAAAAGTAATTAAATCAAAATGAAATTCTCTTTTAGCGACTAAAATATTTAGTCGCTAAAACATTTTAGTCGCCAAAACTAACTATACGGCGACGAAATATTCAGTCGCCAAAAGTAATTAAACAAAAATGAAATTCTCTTTCAACGACTAAAATATGTAGTCGCTAAAACATTTTAGTAGCCAAACATAACATTTTGCCGATCAAATATTTTAGTCGCCAAAAGTAATTAAACCAAAATGAAATTCTCTTTCAGCGACAAAAATGTTTTAGTCGCTAAAACATTTTAGTCGCCAAAAAAACATTTTGCCGACCAAATATTTAGTCACCAAAAGTAATTAAATCAAAATGAAATTGTCTTTCAGCAACTAAAATATGTAGTCACTAAAACATTTTATTGGCCAAACATGACGTTTTACAGACCAAATATTTAGTCGCAAAAAGTAATTAAATCAAAATAAAATTCTCTTTCAACGACTAAAACATTTTAGTCGCTAAAACATTTTAGTCACTAATAATAATATATTTACCGACAAAAAATTTTAGTCACTAATAATAATATGTTTAGTGACCAAATAATTTAGTCGTTATTAGTTTTCACGACGAAACATTTTAGTCGGCAAAATATTAAATATTTTCTTTTCATGGTATTTTACGACCAAATATTTTAGTCGCCGAGGGATGCCATGTTCTTTCGTGACTAAAATCTTTAGTCGGCAAAAATTTCTTCCCTCATCTTCATTTATTTTAGCTACTAACTATTTGGTCGCTAAAAGTCTTTGTTTCTTTTTACTACTAAATATTTAGTCATGAAAAATCTTTGATTACATTTTTGGCTACCAAAATATTTAGTCGTAAAAAAATTTATAATTTTTTTTAATTACTTTCTCAACCACCTGTATTTATTCCATTATTAGTACAATCTGTAACCTGTATATATATAAAATTATCCATATACTGATAAAATTAGCAACCATTCCACAACATGCACACATTTTACTTTCAACCATAAAAAAAATTCATATTTAACATCAAATTAATATTTCCAATAGAAATTCCACACAAACCAAATATAATCCAATCTGAAATATATAATTCCATACATAACATAGGATTAAAAGAAATTAATATCCAATTGTTAATATGTACCACCAAAAACTAATTTGTACCACGCCAAAAGGTATTCTGTACCATGCCAAAAAGGTAATCTGTACCATGTGAAAAAGTAATTTGTACCACATCAAAAATTAATCTGTACGACGTCAAATTCAATCTCCTGTACCACGCCATAAAACTCATATGTACGAACTGATGCTAATTTTTAGACTAAAAACAATGTCTTTCGCACTTGTACAATTCTACGCCAAAAACCATATGTAAAACAAAAAATTAATCATTAGTATTGACTACATTTTGCCAAATTTAAAATTATAAAAAAATATATACATACAACTCTGATTACATCAAGAAAATGATACACTCCAGGAGGATTTAAAGCCAGGGACTAACCTGACCTAATTTCATAAATTTAATTGTAAGAACTTGACAACTAAATAATTCGTAGGGAACTCCCCCACTAGAAGAATTATACCTAGACTACGGATGACGATTGTTTCATCTTTGGTTATCAAGCCATACTTGCACTTTACACTAAAGAAATGGCTCCTTTATTTACAATGCTTAAAAATGAAGAATAATGTTATGTAGACCTTATAAACCAAATTCAACTGCTAGATTATGGTCTAAACCAAACCAAAATGATATCATAAGTTCATAACTCAAATAATACACTGAAACTGCATTTTGAATATAAACTGAACACCTGCACTTGGGACCAGGGGTGACCTGGGGTTCAATCCCATGAAACCAAATTCAAAAGCAGTTGGATTCAATTAACAATTAATACGCATCAATACACTCCCAGATCCCGGTACTAATACCGTCACCATCTCAACAGCCATCATTGCCACAGCATCACAGCTCCCAAGTTCAAAACTACCACACTACCACTTCCCAGCCACCACTGCACCATAATCCTCAATTATAATGACATAAACCCACTACCTGGACTTGTAAATAAATCAAACTATGATACGATTGCACAGCTCAAACAGCAGTTCCTTATTTGACAGACCACTTTACAATTTACATCTACATACCTGATAATGAACCAAATTCAGAAATATCCTCAACCTAGCCAATTAAAAATGATAACATAATCGAGAATGCATGTAGATTTAGTCAGACCTTAATAATATTGACAAGCTTACTGAGCCAGATAAATAACAAATCAAAATAAAACAATACTACATGAGATCGAATTTTAAATCATCCCTAAGTGGACCAAATTTGGTGGTGGTCTACTTGAAACCAAACCGGACACATAAGGAGACAAGTATAATATTAATATCACATTAAGGTTATAAACTTGATGTGATAAGAATGTCTTTAAATTTTGTTCATTCATACTGTTCAAAGGACCAGTTCTAAATTTTGTTCATTCATAATGGCTTTTGGGAAAATTGGTAACTCAACAAAGTATAGATATATATAACTTCTATGCATAAGAAGAACATTCTTTAAAAATCAATTCTTTGCACAAATAGCTTTTGTTTCAATGACATCCATTCAAAGGAAAACAACCACAAAACCAAATTAAATGCAAAAAAATAAAAAATAAAATCTAAATTACATATTAAGGGCAATGCCGCAACATAACAAAACAATTTCATTAATACAGAATGTCTATCTCCCATGCCACATCAACTTTTTATCCTTTCTAACTTCTTTGAGTCAATCAGTGGGTTTTGAGGGGCCTTGTTAAAATTCTTGATAAATTATTTCCTTTATTTTTCCTCTTTCTCCAAGGTGGGATTTTATTAGATTTCAGCATATGGAGGCTGTTTCTAAGAGAACACGCATCCCAACCATGAGAATAATTAGTTAATTACCAACCTGAACACTTTGGAATATCCCAAACAGCAATAGATGATGGAGTACCTTCTGGTTCACAAAGTTGTCGGTTGTCCTCATGGTTGACATTCATTGCAAGCATCCATGCACCAATCGTAACATCTTCATTGCTAAACATACGGAAACTGTAAATGCAAGCAAATCTGAACACATTATATAAAAAATATGGACTCCAAAAGGAGTATCAGTGAAACGTTTTAACATTTAATATCTATCTTGACACATACAATACTGTCATTTTTTAGCTATTTCTTATATGAGGTCATAGTAATTTTTGCTTGGGTAAGAATCAATAAATACTATAGAAGTTTAGATTTAAGTACTTTCACTTCTTAATTATTCTACTCAAACTTTACATCCCTCAACACTGAATCAATATTTAACTATTAGCCACCCTCCTCGAAGATAAAATTTTGCAAGCAATAATATAATTATTTATATGCCTAACATGTGCTTGTTAATGACATAATTTTAATGTTAATGATAGAACATTCATACTAATACTATAGTAATTTAATGATCTTCTATAATTGTTGGGCTCAGGCTGAGGTTTTGATTTTGAAGGTTAGCTTTGATTTTAAAGAAAAATCAGAGTTGAGCCACAAAAATGTACCATTGCCACTAAAACAAATTATGGTTCAATGATTTTGTGGTTTTTGTAGGAAGGAGTTTGCTTCAAGCAGTAAACATATCAAAACCTATGAGACAATCAGATGATACTGTAAGAGTGGATCCTCTAAATCATTTCAAGAAATATAGAGGAGTATATGACATAACCAATAAGCATTATTGGAGTGTAAGTGTTCAATTCTCTGTCTGTCTCCTCCAAAACATCTGTTTGGTTGTGTTTTTGTTTTCATTTTTTTCAGAAAAAATAAAAAATTTCTTTGGCAAACTGTTTCTGAAAACTACCTACTTTTTAGGAAGCACCAAAAAATTGTTTCAATCTTTTGAAACTGTTTTTTGCACAAAAATAAAACGATGTGTGTTTTTGTTCTTTTCACTATGTTCGTTTCCGAAAAACAAAAGCACAACTTTTGCTTCCCCAAACAATAACTTTTCCTTGTACTATTTTGTGCAGTCAGCTATATTTACAGGAATATATGGATATGCCATTGGGGTGTTGTGGCTTTTATGTGGTTTGGTATATGGGGGATTTTTGCTGGCAACCTCTTTTTGTTGTAAAAATAGCAATAAAAAGTTGAAGAAGAAGGAGGGATCACATTGTCACAAGCAGTGTTATCTTTGGCCCATTCTTTTGGCAACATTCTTTGCAGTTCTAGCAATGAAAGTCTATCAGCTCTTTAGTCCATATATAATAGGGCTAATTATTCTTTAACCCCTCAATCATAGTTTCGTGTCACTTTATCTTTCAGAACTAAAAATTGCAACGCTTAGACCATTATAATGAATATACCCTTTATAACAAATTACACTTTACCTCTGAACTATCATTCAATATCACTTTATCTCCCTTAGCTAAAATTTATTGCAACGGCTTGCAGATATTATGAATTTAAGAAACTCAATTGACAACGGCTTGCAGCACTGCTGTATTTGCAACAAAACATCATACAATGCAAAAAGACCTTATAAACTACAATTCCTTTAAACTTGTGAAAGTGATCAAATCCAATCATGATGACATTCTGAATGTACTATCGATTTTATCATGGCAGAGTCGCGACTGAATTAGTTCTGGGAGGGAATGCAAAATTTCATTCAAGAGCAAAAAAAGTGGTAGACATTGTCATTAACACAGCAAATGATGCATCACAAACCATATATAACACAACTGGAGCAATGAAAGACATCAGTACCAACTTGGAAGTATCTAATGGAAGTATTAGTCAGGCTTTGGGCTTGCTTACCACCACATCCCAGAAGCTTGACTCTGAAGCTGCAGTTATACAAAGGCACGCCGAGAAGAATAGGCATGCCATCGACAAGAGCTTGAAGATAGTGTAAATCTCTCCCTCTCTCTCTCTCTCTCTCTGTGCATAGCGATAATGTTTGTTTCTTTTTGCAGGTACATTTTAACTGTAGTGATTATCTCACTCAACTTGGTTGCTGTGCTTGCCCTATCAGGTGCATATATGCTTTAGAATACTTGTCCTTCATTCAATTTTCAAATTTCAATGTTGAAATCAAACTCTATTATTCCTCAGCATCTGAAAACAATCCCACTCTATTATTCTACTCAAACTTTACATCCCTTAACACTGAATCAAATATTTAACTATTAGCCACCCTCCTCGAAGATAAAATTTTGCAACCAATAATATAATTATTTATATGCCTAACATGTGCTTGTTAATGACATAATTTTATACATTGCTTTATAATTACATCAGAACCCAGAGAAGTCAATATTCAGTCACCCTCGAGCCTCAACGGTCAGATTTGGCAATCAATAATAGAATTATTTAGAATTATTAACACCATTGAAAAGTGCTTATCTAATATATTTTATCATTCCAGCCCAATCATCCAACAAAAGCGGTACCAAATACACAAAATAATAATTACAGAATTATTAATACCACTAACAAGTGCTTAATCAACATATTTTATCATCAGAGAGCCCAATCGGCCAACAAAAGCGGTAACAAATCCAACTTAAAGAATATGAATATATATAGAAACATATCTTGTATAATTATATTTACAAATATACACATACATGTATAACATCAGCTGAATAACATAATCTAATCGACTGCTAATTTTACATTTCATCAAAAATCCACAAATTGACGGGTTTCATATTAATAACAGAGTTCAATATGTCAAATTTCATCCAAATGTTTAACTTTATCCAGAAATTTTGATTAATAGAAGAACAAAACAGATCAATCGAGAGAGCCAGATTCAATAATGTGGATTAATTGAGATGAGTTATTCATTTTCCTGAAAAAAATACGAAAAGAAATGTAATCCTCGAAATTTTCTTCTATCTATTTTATTTCCACATTTTCCCAGCTTTTCTCAGTAACCAAACGGATGCTAAAACGGGAGAATACAGTTCGAGAGCCATAAAGAAATCAATTAGAGACTCATAATAACCTAATATAAAATAAAAAAAAAAATAATCAGAAGGGAAGGGAAGGGACCCATAAAATATGAGAAGGGATAATTTTCCTATGGCATCAAATCGATTTGGGGCTGGGTCGATTTGTGGGTGGGTCGATTTGGGGTTGGGTGTGAAGGTATATGCGAATGGAAGAAGACATAGATAGGGAGACAGACACACACAGAGGGCGAAATAGAGGACATACCTACCCGAGACAAAGCGACGGTGGTGCTTCTGTAACCCTTGCGGTGTGCTCGTCTAACCGCGGTGGTGCTCCAGTAACAGAGAGGAGGGCAGAGGGGTGAGGCGTGACAGAGAAGAGACACAGAAGAGTGAGGCGTGAGAGATTTTTTTGGGTGAGCAAGAGGCGTGAGAGATTAAATAAAACATAATCGTGGGTTTATTCAATGAATGGATTATGCTTCCATTCCCGACCTCCTCAAAATTTTAGTCACTAATTCATTTAGGAATCCCTCCAATTTTTGAAATTTTACCTCCAAAAATTAAACAACAATGATTCATCCCACTAAAAACATCACCAATAATAGCACTAATGCATTAAAAAAATAAAAAAATAAATACAACTCCAAGACCAAAACATCACATCATTAATGACGGGACCCACTGCCACCTAATTAGTGGGAGCACTAATTAGTGCTCCCAAGCATTTTTCAAAATTAAATTACAATTGCCGTCTAAACGTCAGTCGCTAAAAGTAAGAGGAATTAAATTACAATTGGCACAACAGTGACTGGTGTGCCTCGTTTTGAGGTACATTATGGGCATATTTTTATGATTTGAACCATTCATGTTGTAGAGTTTGTTGAGTAGTTCAAACCTGCCAAAAATCATATTAATCGGATATCAATTACTATATGATTGATAACCAAAAAAATAAACAACAAGTTTTTGTTTTGAGGAATAGCATAAAAATATACAATTCAATCATATAGTTATTGATATTCGATTAATATGATTTTTGGTAGGTATAAAGTACTCAACAAACTCTACAAAATGAACGGTTCAAATCATAAAAATAAGCCCATAATGCACCTCAAAATGAGGTACACCAATCACTGTTGTGCCAAAGACACAGTAGTGACCTCATTTCCTAAGAGAAATACCAACTAAATTACTCTTAGTAGATACACATTACTTTGAGTAATTACAGATTAATAATTCTAATGGTAACCTGTGCTATGCACGGGACTTTATAAATTAATTCCATGAAATTATTATAAATATGTTAAACTAATTTAATATTTTGTCTTGTTCTATACATGAAATTTATAAATTAATTTTTATGTTTATAACATTTTAAATTATTAGTTTAAAAAATTAAGTGTAGCTTTTGAATATGTGTTTATCAATTTTGTTTTATGGACTTAAACAATTGATGTTTCAATTTAAAAAATTAAAAAAAAAAGATTAGGTTTTTTGGGATAAAAGAAGCCATCTAACTCCTTTATATACTATTTTAAGATGAACTATTTTAATTACATAAAGAAATATAAATTATGTTTGGAAATTATCCCTATATATTATGCTATTATATACAAATATAACAATAACATATTAATTAATATATATGAAAAGTTATACTAAGCTTTCATTTTCAATTAATTGAATTATGATTAACAAACTAACAAATAACAGTAATGGTATAATAGGATAGAGAGAGGAAAAAAATAAAAAACACAATGATATGTAAAAGTTTTAGGCTCTGTTTGGTTGTGTTCTGGAAATGTAATTCCAGGTGTGTTTTTGAGTTGCATGTTTGTTTATGGTTTTTAAGAATCAATTCCACGCTTTGCTTTGAAAACTCTGTCACCCGAATGTCCCCCGGTCAACCCCCCGGATGTCCCACAGGACGTCCCCGCCAGTGAATTTTATTTTTTTTTTTGGGAATTGACACATATTATGTTTTATATATTAAATAAAAAATATTTTCTGAATTTTTAAAATTTTTTTTATGAGTTTTGTATAGAATTTTAAGTTGTGTGTTTGGTTATGAGTTATTAGTTTTTGTATCAAATATCACATGTCACATCAAAAATTTCCCACTCAATTTAAAATTCTTTTCAAAACTCTTTTTAAAACTCACAACCAAACAAATTTTCTACATTCAAATCATAATTCCAAAACTCACAAATTCAAAATACAACTCATATTCTAAAATCATATTTACAAAACTCTTCCAAACGCAACTTTAAATTTATCTAGTTATACAAAAATCTAATGTTATAGTACAATCTTGAATTTGCCATAAATTTTTACATTTTCTATAAAATGAAATGACATAAAAAATAAAAAATTCGACACTCATTTTTTAACTTCAATTTCATAGTTTTCATTGACAAAAACAAAATTCGATCAACATCCTTGGCACAGAATGGGCATAGATGCTTCAATTGCAACAATTATCACCAATAATGTAGCAACCCTCACTTTATCCTAGTCATGCATACATACATTTTTGCATGATCCTTGTATTGATTAAGCTTGCATCTTTGCAGCTTTTGATTAGTTTCGTCTAAGTGTTGTCGCATGCTTTGTTCCTTGCTTGGTGTGAGTTTAGCCGAGGTCATCTTAAGCCTAGGTTACACCTTTGAACTTCCTACACCTAGGACCATCTTGGAACCACTTTGGTTGACCTCCACCCTCACCCTGACATGTTGGCCGAGATGTCATTATCTAGGCCGAGGTGTTCATCACCAAGGCGGAGATGTGTATTATCTAGGCCGAGATGTTATACCAAAGTGATCTTGTCCCTGGACTGGTACGACCTAGACCGAGGTGTGGCACATCTAGGCCAAGGTGTGGCACAGCTAGGCCAAGTGTTGTCCTTCCTCGCCGAGATCATTGAGACTTTACTTGCCAAAGCTTTGTCCTAGCCGAGATCATTACCCGCCGAAATGCCCTTGCCACCTTACTTGTTGCTTACACTTTGTCATGCTCTTGTCTTATCAATCTATCACCTTTTTGAAGAGATCCAATCAGCCGTTGCTACGTGTCCCAGCTAAGGGTTAAGTCAGCCGTGTAGACACCCCATTTTTGACCGTCCTCAAGACTTGGACGTCACCGTTTGAACACTCGGTGATTATCCATGTTTGTGTTCGTTTGGAGTTCCCGGAGGTCTCGGCTCGCGCGCCATGCCTCAGGATCCCCGAATTCGACCGTTTAGTGTCTGGTTTTGCACCAAACACTTGCATCTTGCCTTTGAGAGGCAGGGTGGGGCTTGTAGACCATCCTCACCCATCACCGGCAGTGGCTAGATGCCACCGGCTGGTTTTTGCTGCCACCGGCAATATAGTTTGCCGGCCGGCACTCGTTAGTACTCTTTTGTTGTAACCAAGTGTTAACTTGGAAAGCTGTAAGCCCGTAGGGCATTTTGCTTTTGTTGTTAACATGTAATACTTTTGTAATGAAACTCTGATGAATGTAAGGTTGTGGGACTTTTATATATATCAATGCATATTTATTTGATGGGTTTAATGTAGTTATTATGAGGGCGTTACACTTAGAAAATTCCGTGTAAATTCTTAGAAAATCATTATAAATTTTTTTGTGAATTACTCAGTAAATTATGAGTAAATTCTCAGAAAATTTTGTATAAATTCTTGGTAAATTACTCAGTAAATTCACAGAAATTTTTTAAAACATTACTCAGCAAATTACTCTGTAAATTCTCAATAAATTATCCGTTAAATTTTCAATAAATTCTCTATAAATTACTCAGTTAATTATCGGTGAATTACTCAATAAATTCTAAGAAAATTCTCAATAAATTATGAGTCAATTACTCATTAAGTTCACAGTAAATTCTCAATAAATTACTCAATAAATTGCTTCATAAATGATTGGTAAGTTCCTAGAAAATTACTCAACAAATTCTCAGTAAATTCTCAATAAACTCTTAGTAATTTACTGAGTAAATTCTAAATAAATTATTCGGTGAATTACTCACTAAATTTATCTGTAAATTACTAAGTAAATTCCCAATAAATTACACGGTAAATTCTCAATAAATTCTCTGTAAATTGCTCAGTTAATTATCGACAAGTTCTCACAAAATTCTGAGTCAATTACTTAGTAAATTACTCAGTAAATTATTAGAAAATTACTCTGTAAATTCCAAGAAAATAACGCAGTAAATTATCTGTAAATTCTTAGTAAATTATTTAATAAATTCTAAATAAATTACTGAGCAAATTTCCCATAAATTACTCCTTAAATTCTCAGTAAATTACAAGTGAATTAATGAGTGAATTATTCAGTAATTTATCAGTAAATTACTAGATAAATTCTCTGTAAATTACTCAATAAATTCTCCTAACTGTAACGCGCCCGTGGGCGCTCATTGCTGTACAGTTCGGATCTCGATTTGTGTTCACGGTCTTAATTGAAACAAGAGTCCAAATCTGGCAAATCGTTTTTGAGAAACAGATCTTTTGAAAAAAGTAGTGCCCAAACATGGACTGCTTTGCCAGATACAGAGTCGCCACCTAAATATTTTTTAAAAATGGGAAATTTAGGAAACCCTGACTCGGTGCCGAAGGCACAGTCCGTCATCACCGAGTTGTCTCGCTCGGGAGCTTGGGTACGATGGGAAGGTCAGCTATGAGACCGCCTTTCGCCCCCCGGTCCCCGAAAGACACCGGGCCCTCCTACTAACCCGTGGAAAAAAAAAATTTAAAATCCGTTTTGAAAACGTTTAGTGTTCTTATTACCAATTATTAGCCCCTAGAATTACTATATTATACGCGACAGCAAATAAGTATAGACTGATTGGCTAATTGGAAACAACATTGCATATCCGTTTGGTTTGAAAAATGCTTTGGAATTTGCTACTCGCAAGTAGGCTTAAAAACAGTGGATTTCAAGAGTTTTTCTCACTCAAACAATCAACCTCTCACCACAAGGCATCAAGCAAGTTTTAACACATAAGCATCTAGGCCAATGTTAAGCTGCTGTCAATGCAATATTCCACTCATGCGATATGGCTACACGGAAATACTTACATCGTACTCAGTGCCAAAACAGAAAACTCTGTTAAGCAAAAACAATAAGTCAGGTGAAGTGCTAAGATCATACAATGTTTATATGGCCGCCTTTCTAAATCGTGAAATATGCACAATACTCAACTAGTGTCTAATTTTTTGATAGTACGATGCTATTACATGATGTGAGGAGATGACATGTAATAAAACATTGATCTTCATCTAGAATTGAAAGGTACAGATCTTAGCTAGTCGCTAGATAAATCTGTGACCAGCTCTAGACTAATTACGATACACTCAAGCAGGTTAGATAAAAGGAAGAAGAGAAGTGGGGTTGGAAAGACATAACCACCACCCACACACTACTTACAGATTTCCCCTCCTC